GGCTAAGGGGGCCTATTTTTTGGCCTTTTTTTTTACCCCCCCAAACTAAAAAACCCCTCCTTTTCCTCCTATTCCTTCCCGCGGAACGCCGTCAGGCATTGACGGGAAAGAAGGAAAGGATGGGCTTTTCGCACGTCACCTGAAATATTACGGGAGTCTTCTTTCGTAACTGCTCACCTTCGGAGCGGAAGCGCTCTTCAGGACCTTTGCCGGCATAGTGTCTACCCGCCACTCCAAAACTCTTGTGTGAGCAGCATCCTAGTGACGATTGTCTCAGGGGTCCTTCCTCTTGGAAGGAGTCTGTGAAGTTCTCCCTTCCACGCGAAGCGTGACATGAAAGAACACGTGTTCTACATCTTTAATCACCGGGAAACACCGTCTGGGCATGAGGAGCTATCGTCCAATCGCGGAATCGGAGCTGATACTTGCCGGTAACATCCATGCCCTGTCAGCATCTGAGTTTAGATAAAAATCTTAATTCCATGTTCGTCCTTTAAATCCACGTCATGAATGTCGGAATGACCCGAAATGTCCATCGCCCAGTCTGATGATTGCTCCCATCGTTCCGTTGCCATTGGTCCATTGTCACCCCCTCTCCTTCTTTCGTAATGCGTATTCCAGTTGAGGCCCCCTCCCGCTTGCGCAAATAGAGTCTAAGCTCTCTCCTGCCGCAATGAAGGGGGTTCGGAATTCGGGGGAGGCATATTGCTAAACACCCACACCACACACAGGCCATCATAGGATTCGTTGCGAAACGCCGACAACCCGCCCAAAGCGGACCTTCCTATGCACCGATTAGCCCCACGGGGCGTATGACTGATGCCCCATGGCATCAGCCCAACACAGGGGCTGCCTAGAAGAAGAATGGAATTTACTTACGCTAGTCAGGCAGCCTCCCGGCTTCTTTTGCCCAGACCCCCTACATTAGCATAATGCGTTGCCAATGCGCGATGCCATTACGAAGATGCTTTCTCGTCGAGACATTGCGCAGGTGCTCGTCAAAGCGCCAGTCTCGCCGTCAATATGCACTCCCAAATACCTCAGTGACAGCTCTGCAGAGGATATTTTGCAGCCTCCTTACATTAAGAGTAATTACTCTCTCTCACTTTTCTGCCCATCACCAGCACAGCCTCTGTTTTATGGGCGGCCATCTGTAGCCCCGTACCGACGTAAGCCACCGCCGGAATCTCCGCCCACAGCCTCGTTGGAACCTGGTGACTTGTTTCGATTATTTGCCGACAATTGCAACATCCCGTCAGCGATACAATCGTTCTTGCGCTTCAACGGCCAACTCCGAGCTTCAACACGGCGTCTACATAATGTTCCACAACATCGGACCAAGTACCGAGCCTGTGGGACCACCGCCTGTGACCGTATAAGATTGTACTCCAGAACCCAGTGTCATATAGGAGGACTCTCTTTAAAGTAACTTTTTACCAAGTTTCGAGATGTACCTTGGAACTCCAAAGAGTTTGCATTTTAGCGCCAGAAAAGAAATAGGAGCTCCACCTTGCCAGTGTTAAAGGAGCGTTTTTCCACTACTAGGGGTCACTTATAGCACAATACTTCATAGGACCGCCTTTACCATCGTTGCCTCAATGGCCCGTGCTGCGATTGTGCGATTGACTACCTTAATGCATCTACCGTGGATCTCGCTTTTCTAAAGCCGTACTGCATTATCAGACAACAATCCTTTGAGGCCCCCTCTGTAAATACTCAATACAGATGCAGATTAATCCTCCGCTCCAAACACTTGCCATGCTGTTGTTCCAAAGGGGTAAGCATATTGCGATATGCTGTGCCCGGATCAGTTAGGTTCCTTATCTTCGCTCGCCCTGCGGAAGAAGGAGGACTAGCGTGTTGCTGCTTCCATCGACGGAGGAAAATAGTCCCCTCTCTGTATGCCATGGCATTATATTGCCGCGCAAGAATATGGTCGCCCTGGCCGATGTCTTACTACTATTTTTTTTAATAGCGCCGTCTTAATTCGCTACCTTTTACCACAGCATCTAATCACGGGCTTTGCAATCTTGGCCTTGCCCGCAAGCCTCGTTGCCGAAAGTCATCAAACGGTGACTGGCCGGAAATCCTCGCTTAGATCTTCCAGACACATCCTTCAGTTTGCTAACGATATCTACCTGGCGAGGACAACAAGGCTAGCTACAGCGTTTCCCAAGAAAACCGGGGCAACGTGGGTGGTCGCCTGAACATACCCCTGAGTCTGGCCGTCACCAGCTTATACGGGGCCCCCCCAGGGGTCAGCATTTCCACCTCCTCTCCTAGCTCTCTCCAGCAAGCGACACTTACTAATCTTAATGGTTTTGTGAACTCTTCCTGGCGTCCAGGATGTTGCTTCTTGAGAAATTTCGTATGTTTGGGCCGGTCCAGGGCGCGCTGTGCCAAATCTACGTCGGTTGAGGTGGCATTCCCTGCGACAGTCCGCGATCCCGTCCATGTCCAACCAGCTACACTGATCGAGGACGGCTGTTTCTCTCCTTGGACCTTTGGGTCATTGACGCATCACAAGCGTCAAATACCCGTCGGTTCATTAACTCGGTTTCTACAATATATTCAGAGTCACCGGCCAACATATCTTCAGGGTTGCCCTCCATGCATGCAATGAAGGAATCACGATCGAAACGTCCTGTGGTTCCAAAACAGCTGTTCCTTCTAACCCTTGGTCAGCGTCAACAATGCATTTGCTCTTTCATTCATCACACAATAAGCTGTGGTGTGTCACTATGGGTATAATGTGCCACTAACCTCCCATGATACAATACAACTCTAGCAATGCTTTACAGACGAAACGTTAGGTTCACGACCCCGATGCTTGCGACCCATTCATTTACAAAGGGTCGGACTGGCCCCCGTGTTGCAGAGAGACATCCAAACTGTCAAGGCTGTCCAGGAGAGCCATCCCGCGTCGATTCGTTACTCTGCTGCCCCACTCCGTGACCCATGCATTGAAGTCCCCAGCAATAATAAGAGGCCTTCGTTCTCTCGCGTCATCTATTAAGAGTGAGTGTGTGTGAGTATGTGTGTGTGTGTGTGTGGGTGGGTGGGTGTGTCTGTGCCCGAACATGGGGCACGAGGGAAACGATACGTGAAAATTAATTAATTTCATCTCTTTTCAGACACCAACAAAATTCATGCTTAATATTTGTCTCAGCGACCTCGATACACCTCCACCTCTGAAATATAAAATAAGGAGTCTCTCAACATTAATTACCTTGTAATTTCCTAATATTTTCAAAAACGCTGGCCACTCTGCAGCACTCTTCCAGAAGAACTGTCTTTTCTTGTGAATCACGCCCAAAACCTGCTGGGAACTATGTGATATTTCTGTAATAAATTTGCATAAATATGTAACTTTGTTTATTCCATTCATGTTCCATTTGCATAAATATGTTGAATATTCAGAACACGTGAGTTTTAGTAATAGTTCAGATGGCAGCACCGTCGCCTCTGGGTGGCAAGCGACAGGCTCCTACAAGCCGCTTACGGATAAAAAGCTTGAAATTTCTTCCACACGACAATGTCGATTGTTTTTTAAAACGTCGTGATAATTCTTTGTTGGAAGCGTTGCTAGGTCGCTGGGGAGTAATCCTCCATTAATATATAGTCTATAGTAACTGTTTATATATGTCACGTCTCGTTGCAGTTAGTTGTCAAGAGGACCGCCAGATAGCATCTCCGTTTACGCGTCTCCTACTACGCGCTCCTGCGTCACTACCCAGCGGCAACAATTTGGAAGAAATTAGGATAGGGGTGTGGTTTAGGACACTTTACAAGTTTTGGACTAGCCCTTGTGAAGCAACCGAACACGTTTTCTTGGAAAAAAGTTTACACGAGATTGCCCAGGAATCGAACCCGGTCCTCCTTGGCGAAAGGCGAGCGACTTCACTCTGGGTCACGAGATGTCTTTTTGAAACTTCGCCATCAAAATTTGAATTTAGCACAGGAAACTGCAAATATTTTTTACAAATATGATAAAAAGTTTAATATTTATTTCAATTTTTAAAAAAAATATATACTTATTACAATTAGTACATTGAAAAACTAATAGTTAAATTATATTAAATTCTGGTTAACTTAACTGAGTTGAAATTTCCTCCACTCGGTAAAAAATTTCGAACATTTTTGGCACTGTTTATGAACATTTTGGATTTTTTCCAAACGATTATTAAAATTTAATATAGGTAATATTTATCTCGATGATGATAATAATAAATACAAATCTCTAAAATAAATATTTTAAAATCCGACATTTTATAAAAAAAAATATACGAAAGCAGTAGCTTCCACTTACAGGGACTTGAAATTCGTTGGCACTTTTCATCACCGGTGAAAGGCACGTGATACCAAATGTTGCATGCATTTCATTTTATTATAAAGCAACACCCTTGCATCATCGCTAAGGTCTTGATACTATTTACTTCGAACCGTCTTCAAAAAGAAAAGGTAGCGACTTGACGTGTTGATAAAATAATGCTTTTTTAAATCCAATTTGCTGACAAAATTCGCTGACAGAACCTAAATAAACTGAAAGAAGCAAATATAAATGTAAATAACAAACTAGATAAGACACACGTGACATCACGTCGGCAACCGCATAATACTGCCAGAAACGTAATCACTCTTTAGGAATAACTTCCGCAATCAGCAGAGGTTGCCACCCAACACTTTCCACCATATACATAGAACGTCTATGGTATTATATGTCCATGGTACACACCAACACTATCATATGCATTTCTTCCGGCTCGCAACATTCAAATAAAACAGAAATTGTAGGACGCGCAATATCTAATAGATAGCTCTGCCGATTGCGTGCCACACATAGAGTATTTTACAGAGTCGGCACGTCGGCACCAGAGAGTAGTGACACCTTTTGGACTAGCTTCAGCTCTGTGCGTCAGCGCTACATGTGCTCGTTCGGCGAACTAGGACGCGAGCTTCCAAAACAAACAGCTGACATGGAATTGCCCAATCAGGAGCTTCAATTCAAAAAATTAAGTAACGAAGCTCAGAATTAGATCACGCATCCACCAGACTGCGTCCAGCCCACCCACCCAGCCGGTCCAGCTGATCGCTGATGACGCTTACGCTATGATATCATTAAAAAAGTAAATACCGACTCGGCTAGTGACTAGGGACACCTGAGAGCACAATCGAAGAGTGTAATTTTTATATGACATAGGACTGGTCGTTATCTGTTATGATACACTGGTATGAGTATATGACTCCGCCACAAACAAATTGGAAGTACTCTTGTGAATGGACCCTTAACTCGGTATCTTGGAAGACGCCGCCTACCTGCCGCCACGTAGGACCATGGCAAAAGCCCGTGTTATATATTTGGCGACTTGCTTGAAAGATTGTATCGAAGACTGCAATATAAGGTTTGTTTCGCAAACACTACTTTTTTTATTTATTTATTTTTTACAACTTTTCTTTACGAATGTTCGTCTGTAAAATGACCAACTGTAATAGGAAGGCAAATTGTGATCAGATTCGTTTACGCGCGCGGATGAGACGTTTCGACTTTCGCGGCGCAAGTTGAGGACTAGGCTCGACCCTCCCCTTAGCACAAAACATTCTTGAGTCTGTCCAACTAATTACGTACGCATTTTATGTGAACAGGGTCTAGAGATAAATCACCTTAAAAATAATTTGGCGTGTATGTGTTCTTTATGTTCTCCACATGTACCACGGTGTATGATATATTTTACACCGTGCATGTACTCTTATAATTCCGCTCAAGATCAGATATGTTAGTTTGTTTGGTTTTTGTTCCGTGCGAGTGAAGGAATTGGATCACAAACTGCATTTCAGCCCCCACAGTTTATCTAATACAGTTAATTAATATGCTTGTCTCTCAGGGATTTGAGGGAAATTTTGGAGAATGAAGACTCTGATCCAAACGTCCTCCTCCCAGAATTAAATTACACTCCTTTTCATGCGGTCGCCGGATCTGAGGATGAAGATTTCGCCGAAGCTGCTTGCAGACTCTTTCTTATTCACAATGGGAACCCGAACGTGAAGTAATTGCTAGTAAACTTGTGTCTTGCATGTAATATAGCAATTTCTTAGTTGTAACTAACAAGTAACAAAGTACATTGAAATTTATTTTAATGATTTATGAAGTCTTTTAAACTGTCAGTCTTGCCTTGAGCCAGTGAATATGAGTTGGCCTTTCTAAATTCCAGCTGTCTCTATCAGCTCTAACATTTGGGCAATACACTTGGATCATTCTATGTTAATTGGTATAATATTGGAGGTGCCCTATACCAATTTTAATCTAATGTGTCTTCATGAAATTTCCATCCAAGCCATATTCTGGTCTAGAAATATTTCAAATAAGTTTTTTTAAATTAATTAAATTTACTTTCAAGCAAATCAACTTATGGTAATTCATTTTGTATCATGCAATCAGTATTCAGAGGGAGATGTTCATGTTATATGTGAAATGTCTAGTAGATTGTCTAAATTTTTGTTTGCAACTTGTAACTCAGTTGATGTACTTTTGTGAAAAGTAGGACTGCATTCAATTTTTTCTGTACTACTCTCTGTAATTCTTCTGTATATCTTCTCTAACACTATAAGTAATAAGACATATAATTCAGAAAATAGTAATACGCTATCATAATCAGGAAGTAATAATCAAATAGGTTTGCGTCCACATTACTGAAACCATTTTAGGCCATGATAACATCAGATGTTTGAACAAACCAAACCAAGTGAGTATGAAATCTGACATTTACAGGGCAGATGAAGACTTGACACCAGTGCATGTAGCCGCTTCCTGGGGTCATGCAAAAGTCCTGCAGGTCCTTTTGGAAGGAGGGGGATCTCCTTGGCTGAAAGATGAAGTGGGCAAGAATGCCTTCGACTACGCAAAAGAGAGCAATGATTGGGGTACTATGAATGTTCTCTCAGAGTTTTCTCAGAAGAATTCTGAAAATGGCAATGTGATGAATATTTTGCTTTCACGAATGAGAAATATTCGAACATCAAAGAAAAGAGGTGAGGATTACTTATCTCTAATTTGGAGGATAAATTCCATAGTTGCATGTTTAATTATTACTTTATGACAGTAATCTAAGCTCTTAAAGTCTTGTCAAGTATATACAGCATTGAAGGCTTCATGGCCAGAGTCAATATTCTTCATGTCTTCCGGGCTGATGGGCCGTGGTCCAATTGGACCAAGGCCCATCAGCTCAGAAGACATGAAGAATACTAGTCAAGTATGGTATCAGTCAAAAGTTTAAGGACTCTCTGGAAAAAAAACAAAAACAAATTTTGAGTTTTCTCTAAGAATATTTTAAATTTTTACAAAAAATCAAAAAGAACCATCATACAATCTTAGGAATCAATATGCCCTCTCTTGCCTGTTCTGACCATCTTCACACAATCTGGCATTGTGTTATTCAGACTCCGGTATTCATTGACAGAGAAGTCTCGCCATAATACAGCAATATTCTGTTTTAATTCTCCATTTGATTTGAACTTCCTCTTGGCCAACTTAACTGCCATAGAATTCCACTCGTTCTCAATGGGATTAAGGTCTGGTGAGTAATCTGGCCATAGTAACAGCTCAATATCATTTTCTTTAAACCAGTAAAGCAACTGGTAACAGGCAGCATCTTCTTGGTGGAAAAGGTGATTCTCTCCCATTAGCCTAATCACTGAAGGAACCATTACTTCTAATATTTGAACATATCTCTGGCTATTCACTGATCCATCTATAATGTACAATTCTCAAAGTCCTTTGTAGGTTGGGCACCTCCAAATCCTTATTGCTTCACCTCCACCTAAAACGAAGGTGCAATGCAGGGTGGCTGAAACTTTTCTGTTAAAGTTCACCTAACCTTCACTTACCGTCATCTTGGATTCAGTTTGAATCTGCTTGTATCAGAAAAAACCTGTCTTTGCCGGTCCTCTTTCAACCAATTACTCCTCTCATAACAAATCACTTTCGCCTTTTCTTAATTTGCTCGGTAAACTGTCTTACTGCAAGGCTATATAAAATATTAGCCCAGCTTCTCTTCGATGATGACCTAAGATTTCACCATTGATGTTTATGTCCAAATTATCCTGCACTTTCACTGAAACATCAGGTATACTATCTCTGTGATTTTGTTTACTTATGCTTATGGTTGCACGGTCAGTTCTTGGCGAGGTTATCCTAGACCTACCTTTACGGAAAGCTTCAAGAACACTACTAGTGGCTTTAAATCTACTGTGTAACTAATGCTATCATTTTCCAAGATCCAAAGTAAATGGTGGTATTAGAGTGACATTAAAATCACGCTAATTACAAACAAAATCAAAATTAGAAAAGCGACTTTTTTATGCAAAGAGAACAACAAGAGCAAAAAAAAAAGATGGGTTCAAGACAGTAGCAGAGAGATCACAGATGCTTTATTTAGAAAATGAAACCAGCAAAAGATGCCTTTCCTGCAAACCCTTATACTTAACAAAATTGATGAGGACTTTAATATTGTTAATAAAAATTAAAAACAATAAGGTTCCACAGATGTGAACCCTGTAACACAGAAAACCATTAATATCGTTGAGATCAATAATTTATATTTAACATTTTGTTTTCTATCCTTCAAATAACTTCTATCAATTTAATAACCAATTTGTACTATGCAAATTACATTTTAGGGGGGGTTTAGCCAAAAGAATATTCTGGTTATGAAAGGCTTATTTATTATGACCAGCAAACCTGGAATCCTTGAAAACCAGGGGGAAATACGGAAATGGCCAAAAGCCTGGAAGATCCTGGGAAAAAACAAGAATTTGATTTCAAAACTGAGATTTTTTATTATTTTCAGATTCATGCTAACTTTTGGCACACATTTACATACGTCATCATATCCACTAAAGTGCAAGTATGTGACAGTGTTTAAATTTAAAGGGAGCACAAAGAAATCTGTGCTATGTGGAAATCTGATGAGGTTTTGCCACAGGAAATAGAAGTACATTCTATTCTCAGCCTGTGATTTGGGAGGTTCCAACTCTAACTCAGAGACATTGGTGCACTATGTTATCAGTATACGGTGAGTTCCAGTGTTAATGCCGATTTCACCAAACTTCCGCAAATTGGTGTTGACAATTGTAGTTTTCATGAATGACAAATATTTGGCGTCTTGTTATATTTTACAGACATTTTGGAGTAGAAATGACGCTCTGTTGTATTTGATTCAAGGCACATATGCCCTCCTCCAACAGGGGTTTGCTGCAATGTCGACACGGTTGTGCGTTGACTGCACTATTTAAGTAGATCCACTTTATTTACGCATATAAGGAGATATATTTTTTTCGGCTTCTTAGCCATTCATGAGAAAATGTTGATTGAAGGTGTCCAGAAATGCACAATTTTAAGTTTAGGTTCACAGAAAAGTTTTGGATTTTCAGGAAATTTCATCAGAATTGTATCAAAGCATTAACTATTGAACAATGAATAAACAAATTTTCTTAGAATGTTCACCATGATACTACAAGGTTACAAGATTATTACATTGCAGAAATGCTTCCAAATTTTGAAATTTAGTTTCATTTTATGGTGATTTCAAATTAAAGGACATAGTTGAATACTTTGTTCAAACACTGCATAATGTAAAGCATGGAAACTGGGTTCTGTCTCATAGTGTAGAATAATAAAATTATAAAACTAGTTTACCATCATATCATTATTTGCCTAGGTCAGGGAAACCTTCATCAAAGCCCTAAAGAACAGCACTCACCCATCCTTCTCCCTCTCCTCTCCTCTCTCCCTCTCCTCTCTCTCCCTCTCCTCTCTCTCCCTCTCCTCTCTCTCCCTCTCCTCTC